ATAAAAAGTCAACAAGACGTGAGCGATCAAGTGAATTGCCATCCAAATTCATGAAAAATGGCAGAAAGCAACAGAAGACGAAATATTTTCACTGATAGTTAGAAATTATTCAAACGGAAATACAACCAATTCCAGTGGTTGTGTGTATTGGAAATGATATGCATTGGCCAGACTATATTTACTGTAAGTAAGAAATTTTATTTATATTTGAATTGTAATCTGATAAAGAATATTGGACGTTGGCTTCGATTTGGTTTGCCATGGTAGCAGATATGCTTATACTGCTGTTATTTCCTTGAGATCTAGCTGCTACAATTGGCGCTAGACTTCTGAATTCCGTTGTTTCCAATTTTCATTGGTCGAAGAGAAACCGATGATGCAGAACGCAGTGACGTCCAAATAAGGCAGGAACACCAGAAAACATTAAAAAATCAAAGAAGTCGTTTTTACTGATCGAAAAGTGAAGTTTCGTGAGTTAGCTGACATTGTAAGGATATCAGATGAACGTGTTGGCTATATATTGCATGGGCATTTGGCTATGAGAAAGCTCTGTTCGAAGTTGGTGCCGGACGAGCTCACTGTTGACCAAAAACAAGAACTTCTTGATGATTCTGAGCAGTGTTTGGCCATGTTCGAACATAACAAACCGGAATTTTTGCATCTATATGTGACAATGGAAAATACCTCAGTGAATATTAATTATATAGCGTTATCGGGGCGTTTGAAGGCTGAAATTGCAAAGAAACGGCCGAACACGGCAAAGAAAAAAAACTTGTTTTATCAAAACAACGCACAAGTCAATCAAAACAATGGCAAAACTAGATGAATTGAACTGCGAATTGCTCCCACATCCACCGTATTCGCCAGATTTGGCTCCCGGCAACTACTAGCTGTTCGCTGGCCTCAAAACAATGCTCATCGATAAAAAATTTCGCTCGAATAAAGAGGTTATTGCTGAAACTGAGGCCTACTTTGAGGCAAAAGATAAATCGTTCTACAAAAGTGGTATTGAAATGTTAGAGCGACGCTGAAATAATTGTGTGGCTCTTGATGGAGATTAGGTTGATGAATAAAGCCAATCTTGAACAAAAAAAACGCGTTTTCTTTCTTAGGCCTGGGTCTTTTCAACCCATGACATGTCAGACACCAAGCAAAAATCAACTATTTCAACACCATCTATGTTTCTGCAAGAAATTAAGGAATCTGGAACACCTTGTTTGGATGAAGTGGATAGTACATCATTGAGACATCATCTGAGGTATATTCAGAAGACGAGGTTTCCAGACGAATAGGTACCTGAGTCAATTAATTTCACATATGACAAAGCATAACTCCAGAGAAATCAAGAAAGGAGAGATCGTCCTTATCGAGAATGAGAATTTGAAAAGATTTGAATGGCCTTTGGGTATAGTGCAAGAAATTATTCCCAGTGTCGTCAAAATCAAGACTTCAACTGGTACTTTGATGAGACTCATTCAGAGATTATATCCTATTGAAATCGAAAAAAAACCTAGATTTCAACTTAGAATCTGATATAATTGGAAACCTGAAGGACACATCAAAATTGAAGGAGCTAGATATTCAGAGAGAATATCAATAGTCTCAAGTCTATAGAGGCAAAAAAGGAAGAGCCGAAAGAAGACGAAAATTTTCCAGGTTGGTACTGGTAGCAGAACCCCTGCAAGGTGGTGAGGCCTCCTGCAATATTTGGATTTTAGCATTTTCGAGTTAGTTGTGTCACTGTACCGAGACACAAGGTGAGAGAATGTTGGAAAATGATCTGCTTTGATCAGATTACATTTTCGGTTACTGACAAAATTTATTTGTATTTGAAGTTTTTGTAATTTGTCTAATAATTTTATAACATTTTCAGTTAACTCTGGGAAATAAATTTTGATAAGTTTACATTTCATCAGTATTTGGGTCACTCAAGACCCTTGAGTACATATCAATACATGCTCGATAATCTGGACAGTTATATGTTACGCACATTCCAAAAAAAAAATTGGATTATTTAAAGAAGTTAAATAACAAGAGTACAAAATATATTCTCATTGGATATGGTTTGAATGGCTACAGACTTTGGTTAAATCGAAAGGCCACTCTAAGTCAAATCCAACTACCAGTAACTCTTCAGATTCGGATACTTTTTTTCTGAAAAAATCAATGCATATATTCTATTTGTATGAATTTTTGTTTTAAATAAACATAGATGCAGTGCATATTTTTAAGGAATTTTGACTGGGTGACATACGGGACAGCAAAAGTACCGGAGGGTCTGGGAGTATTCCCCCAGGTAGGGCGGAATTAAGTGTCAAATGACGCATTTTTAGGCCGTTTTAACTCTTAATTAACATGGTCCGGGAGGTTTTGAATACCGGAAAATACATACTTCAATTAGATATTACGACAACAAAGCAACTGATTGTTTGACCGATAAGAATCCGATGAGTGTGCAAGCACCCGCTACCAATAAAATATCGGCCAATTTTATACTGGCCATTCAAAATCGGTGTGTGTGCAACTAGCGTTACGCTAGTTGAACAAACACTTTGTGTGCAACTAGCGTAGTGCAACGCTAGTTGCAACGATCGGTACAAAGTCGGCCGTCCAAAATCGGTGTGTGTGAAACTAGCGTTACGCTCCTTTCACACAATACGATTTTGGTCGTCCGGTAAAAAGTCGGACGACCGTTTATCGTAACTCACTGGCTTTCACACATAACGACATATTATCGTTAGTATTTATCGTGATGTCGGAGAGAGCACAGGGCGTCGCATCAAATCGGGCAAAAATTTTGGCATTATGGTTTATTTATCGTCGCAAAAAAAGGCAGAAACGTAATCGACTACATTGGGTGCATCCAATCAATAGAAGGAGAGAAGAAGCAGGTTTATTTCGTATACTCTTTGAAGATTTAAGAAATGACCAAACCAAATTTTTTAATTACTTCCGCATGTCAATGAGTTCCTTCGATGAATTACATGACAAACTGAAGACTGTTCTTCAACGGCGAAATACAAAAAAGAAAAATTGTATTCAACCTATAGAAATGTTGGCTGTCACTTTGAGGTAAGTTCTGATACTATTTTACAAACTACGAAATTTTTATTCTATACTCTTAATGATAATCTAAATTTTGGCGTTTTTGTTTTTCATTAAATAAACCCGTCTTATTTTTATGCAAAAACGAGATGTAGAACAAGAAACAAACAATTTATAAATTTTCTTTAAGTCTTCAATTGTTATAATAAATTTATAAGAAAGAATTTTGTTTAGATCGTTATAATTTCGTATATTTTTTGTTGATATTACTTAAACCGATAGACATAGGCCAGAGTTGGTTAAATATTTCTAGCATATTAAAACCATTATTAAAACAAGTCATTTATTTTTGCTCTGTAATAACAAAATAAAGAAAATTCCTGAATTTTACAAAGTTTTACAAATAAAGACATTAGAGGGAAGTAAAATCTACACTATCAACTGTGCTGAAGTCCTGAGAGAGCGGAGTGGAACTGTCCCTGGGATCTGTCATTGGAGATGTCATTCCAGATGATGCCCCGCAATCTTGATAATACTGACGTGTTGATTGTATTTGGTAATTATTAGTTGAAGAAGATTGAGTGGGAAAAAGTTGAGTAAATGATGGTGTAGATGATCGGGACTGAGTAAGTTGTGAATGTTGAGGAAAAGAAGGAGCAAGCTGGAACGCAAACTGCTGCGAGTGAGAGTTTGTAGGAATAGATTGAGGAAAAGGAGGAGGGACCTGAGGAACCATTTCCTTTTTTTCATTGATGTTTGCAATCACTTGCAAAACGCCCATTTGGAACTGAAGTAATTCATTTTCATCAAATCTATCAAGGTGAGGCAACAAACTCTGGAAGAAAGACATTTTACTATTTTGTTTTTCAGGCTCTAATGCCTTCAAAATTTTTAATTCCACCTCATCAGGTTTGCGATGTTTCCTATTTCTCGTACGTTCATTTATTGTTTCGTCAATCGTGAAACTAGCATTTGCCTCAACCTCTATGTGTTCCGAATTGTTTTCAGTTCCGTGCCTGGTTTCGTCATTCAAACTATCAACTGTCTCTCTAACTTCGTACAGTTTGTTTGAAAATTGAAGCTGATCATTATATACATATTTCTTGGGTTTTTTTGCATCTGTTCCACTTCTTTTGCTGTATTTCATTTTTCTTTTAGACCTAGCGAACGCATCTTGAAGATTAGTCCACCGTCTTACAACGTCCTTACCTAAAATATAAATGAAATAACAAATACTAATATTTATTCATTCATTTTTAAGAAATTTGAAGATACGTGATTCTTTTCAGATATCTGGCAAGTGGCTGTACCTTTACTGAGCTACATTATACTTATCGAATTGGAATTTCTACTGCGAGTAAGATAGTAAAGGAAGTATGCAAAGCAATCTGGATGGTTCTGCGAGTGGAGTGTATACCAATCACCTACAAGGGAAATGTGGAAATCTATCGCTTCAGACTTTGAAACCATTGCAAACTTTCCCCATTGTATAGGAGCAGTAGACGGCAAGCACATACGTCTTACTTGTCCATTTCGCAGTGGGTCAATGTATTTCAACTATAAAGATTATTATTTTGTAGTTTTAATGGCAGTTGCCGACTGCAGATACAAATTTGTGTTTGTAGACGTTGGAAGTTATGGTAAAGATTGTGACTCTTCAATATTTAAAAGGTCCAGTTTATGGCAGTCGATAGAATCAAACACACAACCACTACCAGAAGAAAAGTGTCTACCGGGAACTGAAAGCCCCAAAGTTCCCTACTTCTTCGTAGGAGATGAAGCATTTGGATTGCATCGACATTTACTGCGACCTTTTGGGGGAACACATTTAACTGTTGAAAAAAGGATTTTTAACTATCGCTTGTATCGAGCTCGACGGTATGTCGAATGTGCTTTTGGCATCCTCAGCAATAAATGGCGAATATTTCATAGACCTCTAAATGTAGAGCCAAATTTTGCTGTTTTTGAAAATGTCATCAGCCAGCCATATAATAAAGACTATTTTTGAACCATTTCAAGAATATATAAATTCAGAACAAGATGTTAGAGAGGTATGAAATCTGAAATATATAATCGGTTTGGTAACTCAATTCTTTTTCTAGGAAATACGAAAAATCATGAAAGATATTGAAAAGCCTTTACGAGAAATAGTTACTACTTTACAAGCAATACATCACGAAAGAGACATTGAACAAAGTGAGTTATTTCATTCCAATAGGCAACAAATATTTGCATTTAAAATTTCAAAATATTTTTAATAATGAATATTTTACACTCTATAGTACACTCTGCTTGCATGAATGCAAGAAAACTATTCGAGGAAGTACGCGAAGGATATGCTACCTTGGATAAAGTTGTTCCTCCAGGACAATATTATAGATATAATGACCATTGGAGATATGCCACACAACGATTATGCTTTTTAGCAGCTTTAATAGTGTTTTTGGAAAAGGGAATTTTAATTAATAAAAGTACAGCCGCTGAAATTCTGGGAGGTATGTAATAAAACTCAGTTTTTGCTGAAATTGATTGATTTTTATTTAAAGTTGATGGTAAACCGAACATTCACTTGGATCTTGAAGATTATTTAATGGGACTTTTGAGTCTAGCTTCAGAATTGGTAAGTTTACAATATCTATACAAGCATATAGGTAAATAGTAAAGTTGAATATTCTAAACATTAAATACGTAACCATCAGTGGGGGAAATTGTTTTAAATATTTTCAGTTGAAGTGATGTAATATTTGTTTCAATGTCCTCTTATATCTCATGGACTTTGTAAGAAATAAATGTTCTCCATTATTCCATACAAGTTATCAGGTAACTTAGCATTTAGTGTAGAAAAAGTGAAAGCACCAAGACTATAGATAAAACACAAAATACATTTGAGTTGAATATACATGTATTTTGGTAACATTGTTTTGTACTTGAAAAAATTCAGTATTACATGGAACTTCTGGAGATATTTATGGCTGTTGAACTGTATAAAATTCATATGATCAAATGAAAACTTTATTTTATCTTTATAATGTCAAATATATTTAACAACACTTTATTGTAATATTCCACAGTTTCCAAAACCTAAACACTTTTTTTTAATATACTTCTTTGAGCAAAAGGTACACACTTTCCTCAAGAGATAGTTTTGCAGTTCTGGAAGCAGTGCTAAACTGCTTTCTGAAAATCTCACAACAAATTGTTAAACAATTTTTTAATGGATCGTCATCATGCATTGACCAATTTCGAGCATATTTGTCAGAATATTGAAGATATTAAGGAGGAATACTGATAATATACAATAAACATATGTGTTATAACAATTCTTAAAACTTATAGCTAATACAAGAAAATACCTTTCAATTATCACTTCACACATTTTACTATTTCATTCATGAAACTTATTTCTGCAATGAAAAATGAGCATTTGAGAGAAGTTTACTGAATTCAAGAAACAGATACCATTTGCTCTTCTGGGATCTGCCTAAATATAATAAATATTGAATTATCATTTTCAGCGTAAAACTTATTGAACCTCGAAGACCTCTTTTTCCTAGCTTATATTATTTCGAAATTCAATTTGAATTAGGTTTTGCCTTATTGTATAAAAATAGTAAACACTCTGACATAAAAACTTATCAAAGATTTAAAAGACAACAATCTGCCACTGAAAATCATAATAATAGTAAATTTTATGTTTCCAGATCTTCCGATATATCCAGTTCTGTTTCTTTTATAATACAGTACAAAATGAAATTGAAAAAATGTCATTAACTTCTTTGGAACTTCTAAATTTGCCAATCTAATTTGATGTTCAAGCCTAGTAACCTTGTGAGCATGTCTGGAATGTACTATTAGTTTCCAAAATAAAATATTTAATTTTAATAAGTAGAATTTGTAAATTCCGGCGTGAAATGAACGCATCTATTGAAAACTGTTTTCTCTCACCGGAACAAAAATGCTATCTCTCAACTTGGTTGCCAAAATGCGAGTCAATAGACTACATTTTTGTTCAGGTGAGCGAAAACGTGTTTTCAATAAAAGATTCTTTTGAATATATAATTGCGGTTTTGACTTGAATGTTTCCTGAGAAAATTTGTAAAAAAATTTAGATCGGAAATAACATATTTATTCCTGAGGAAAGAAACTTGTGTTAGACCAAAAGTATTTCATTTCAGAAAATTCTATAAACATTTGATAATTATCAAAATATCAATTTTTTTCAGTCAAGATATGCAGTTAATGCTGTCACTTATGGAGACTATGATCGACCATTACAAATCTCAAAATTCGTAGCAGAACTCAATGCTGGATTCAGGTTGCTGAACTTGAAAAATGATTCGCTTCGAAAACGATTTGATGCATTGAAGTATGATGTGAAAAAAATTGAGGAAGTTGTTTATGATCTCTCTATAAGAGGGCTCACTCCTAGTCCAGCAGGTGGAGAAAAGAGTTCGAATTGAGTATCAGTATTTAGAACTTTTTTTATTTTATTTTATAGCTTAGGTTAGAATTGATTTTTGAGTTGTGTTTAATAATATATTTTACATTTCAAAATTGATTTGTATTTTTTGTAATTATAACCATACCCATCTAAATGAATATTCTGTACAGTCAATTAATTTTCAAGCAAAGTACAGTAAATCCTTGAGCCATTTTAAGGGGAGTGCCGAATGAAAGTGGCGATTTATGTTCTATTGAAACTGCTATAGATATTTGTTTCCTAAAAGATTCAGAATACATAATACACACACACACATATTTTATTCTCAACATGAAATCTGTGTCTACTGTCCAAAGCTTAGGGAAAGTGACTAGCTAGGTGAAAAATATATGTCAAATAATTGATGGGAAAAACTTGTGCAAACTATAGTCAACATTGTGGTGCAATAATTTTTTCAATTCGATCTTAAATTTTACCATTCATAGCTGAATAAGAAGTGGAACTTTATAAATGTAGAAGTTTAAGGAAATCGGTATTTTCGTTATTCAGCTGTCATCCCCCTACGAACGACAACCCTCAAAAGTCGAAACTTGTGCGAGCTAAGGACCAACGAGGTCTTACCATTTAACATGTGATTCCTAGCACGGGTTGGACAATAGGAAGTGAAAATCGATTGTCAGGCCTCGCGGCCTGAATCATCGGATCAAATAGTTGTACAGAAAGAATATTTTATGATTTGCAAAGTAATTTTAAGCATGATTATCTACATGGTAGACCAAACATTGTTCTTATTGATTGTTTTTGTATGGTGAAGCCTACTGTGGAACTAGGCTTATATTTGTGTTTATCCTTATAGTTCTGATGCTAAAGATAGCTCTGCTCAATTTTTTGTTCTATTGAGAAATATGATCTAACCAAGTGAGATCAGAGCCAATAGTAAGTCCCAAACATTTTGAAATGTTCGAGCAATTTAATGACTCGGCATTTAAAATCATTTCAATATTTTGGTTTATTTTATTAAGATTAAAAAAATGATCTGAATTTTAGATACATTCAGAAAAAGTTTATTTGCACTGAACCAGCATATCATACCATTCATCCATGGACAATTAAACTGGTATGAGCTACTTATGATAATAATTTGAATAAAATGTATGAGTTACTATAAGTTTCTTGATATGCTTGAAACTGAAAATATAATAGTATTTATTCCTGATGATTCCAATAAGCTCAAAGATACAGAAGAAAATATAAAAATGAATCATTTACTCAATTCATATTCTTTTGTATTAACAATTAATGTGTATACAAGAATAGCTCACAATTCTAGAGAATGTATTGACATTTACGAATTTGCAAGAAAATGTGAAACATATACAGAAAAATAGCTATCACATTGAATCAAGTTTTTTCTCCAATTCATCAAATTTTTGTGCCAGTTACTATGTTCCAGAAGTTGATATGGGTTTACGTGAACCATTTCAATTGCTTTCATCTTGATATATTAGGCATTGATCATTACGATTCAGAAAATTCCAATCCATGGTGGCACTCTACGTATTGAAGAATATGTCCCAGCAGAAATAGACACATAAGAAAATATGGAGAAACCACTATCCTGTCTAATACTATAAATTACCACACGACTTCATAGAGACCATTGATTACTGTGAGTATCCAATCTTAACAAAAGGTGGAATCCAGTACTCAAGAAGACCAGAAATGGATTAGAACACAACTCCAATCCGCGAATCATTATCCCACCAGCAACACACCTTTCAACAACGTGGACCAATCATGAGTTAGTATTCTCATGGACCCCCTACCCCCGCCGAGCAATACAATTGAACTGAGAGCTCTCCAGTCAGTGGTTGCTGAGACTTTCAGATACTACCTTTGTCCTTGCAATCAGCACATACACCAGTGAAGATGCCTATCATAGTAGCAGACGAAACGTTTGGCACTACAAGTTCCTTTCGATCATAGTCTACCAGGCCAGATTTTCTTCTCTCTAATTGTAACTCTGGCCATTGAAAAGCACTCAACAAGATCGATATTTTGAATTATATTTTGTTTTCGAATTGGGGGAAAGGAAAAGTACAACTTTTGAAAATTGATCAAACCACGAACGCTGACATAAGAAGTGTCTGTTTAAAATCCGTTTTTCCGTTGACCAGCTGGAAAGCTAACTTGGGAGTCAAACTATAAGTGGTTTCAATTATGTATGGGTTGCGTTCACGCAGTGACTTTCATTATATTTTGGTTTTTCATAGTTTGTCTTCAATGGAGGGCCGCCTACCTAGTACTGATGATGCCCAACAGGTTGGAATAGAGAATTTAGAGTTATCGATGAACATTTTCAATTTACAGTTGTAACTGTGATTTCACACTTATAACCGTATATTCACAGTTATAACTGTTTATAACTGTGAATTCACACTTACAGTTGTGAATTGTGGAAGAATAATATTGATTTCTGTGGCCCTTGTGCGCTTTTGCTACAAATAGACAAACGTTTTCATCGTTTATCATTTTCAGCGACACAGAATAAATATCGCATTGCGCAAGATTCAAGTTTCACTGGCTGGTTACCAGTGTGTGCACACACACCGATTTTGGACGGCCAGTATAAAATCGGCCGATATTTTATTGGTAGCGGGTGCTTGCACACTCACCGGATTCTTATCGGTCAAACAATCAGTTGCTTTGTTGTCGTAATTAACACGCACTACCAAAACGAAGTTAATGCGTAGTAACTACAATTTCACCGAGCATTCGAGACTGGAATGGTCGGTAAATGGTCATGTACGCCACTACTTCCCGGTACTGCCGGCGATACAGTGGCAGTGGACGGCTTCTCACCGGTATTTTACCGGCGACGATGACCGGTCGGCGTGTGTGCAAGTCACTCTGACATAAAAACTTATCAAAGATTTAAAAGACAACAATCTGCCACTGAAAATCATAATAATGGTAAATTTTATGTTTCCAGATCTTCCGAACTCTTACTTATTCAACGTATTTTGATCATCTTCCTTATCTTTTTCCTTCTCCTTCAAAGTGACGTAAAGCAATAGAGAGACCTGAAAAAAGTAATACTCAAAACATTTTTCGAGTTTTTTGGTCCTTACTTATACTAACGTGTGAGTCAATTGCTGCATACTTTTGCTGGGCTGGTGACAGTGGTATTATGTGCCACTTGCTATTTCTCACCATTTTAGATTTGTTTATCCTCAAATCCAACTGCGAAAATATAATTTAGAAAGTCAATTGTACTTTAGGCATATTCAATAGCAAGATTTTATTATTTAACATACCAAATAATTGACTAGTTTTTCTAAACTCCATCGGTGGGTAGTAGGAAGAATAGAATTTGCTAACACTCCTAAATCGATACAATTTTGGACTAGTTTATCACCATTGACTCCAGTGAAATCCCTTGCCAGTTTTCTAGCGTCACTGGAAGCATATTATTGAAATTTTAGAATTAGCCATTTTACTTTCTCGGAGTTCAGAATTGTTTATACATAGAAAAATTATGGTTGCTCTAACTCAAATTGAAAGTGCAAGAGTATACATGTTGTATCATAAGTGATGATTTTTAATCTGAAGCCTTTCCTCATTTCTTAAAAAACAGGGTGTCAAAGTTTAGAGAAATCCGTTTTTTATTAATAATGTTTATTAAAATGTTTGATGACATTTTTGATGCAATTAGATTTGGAATACTGATTCTAGAGAGATACCTGGTTGATTTTATTGGTGAAAGTCATTGTAAATTTGAAGTTATCAACAAATAAAACGATTAGAAAGTTTTTAAGATATGTGATGGAAATGGCAGACATTTGATGAAAATCTATATTGAAATATTTATGTAATAATTTATTATGAAGAAAAGACAATTGAAACTTTATATGTTTTTTACCACTTTTATTTGTAACTAACGTTACTGCAGTTTCGTCCTATAAGGACATTTTCAAACTTATACATTAATGTCTATTATTCGACATAGTTGCCTTCGAGGGCGCTATTTTGCCATTGGCGCTTTTTTTCCATCGCTGGGGATTAGATCTGGAGAATACAGTGGATGCGGAAGCAATTCGGAACACAATTCATGCAATTTCACCTTCGTTTTCATTGATTTGTGACACGGTGCATTATTTTGTATTCATTTTCTTCAAACTATTAAAAGTTGC